CACACACACACACACACACACACACACACACACACACACACACACACACACCGCCCCCAGAGGACATGGAAGGATTCCCAGCAGAGATAGGGTAGCTCCAGGGGAGCAAAGGAGAGAAGCAGGGGATGTCAGTCATCTGCGGCCCTAAGCTTACTCTTTGCAGCCTTGACCCTGAGCTGTTTTCAGGAAAAGGCATGACATGGCGTCCGGTCCACCCGGGGCAGTGCCCGGCAGGGCCTGGAGCAGAACAAGGCGTCGGGAGCAGAGCGGGGCCTGGGAAACGGCAATACTTACTTATCCAGTTTCGAACGTTGAGGAAACTTTGCTCGTTTGTCAGGTCGAACAGTAGCAGGAAACCCATCGCATCCCTGAAGAACGCAGTGGTCAGACTACGAAACCTGGGACACAAAAACAGACGGTCACCAAGTCATGGCCCCACTCCTGAAATGTGAAGCCGCCAGTGACACCCTCTGCCTTCTACAAAGATTCATCAGTAATTCCCACGATGCTCACCCAGACTGGTGTTTACCACTCCCAAGACTTCAACGTGAACAGAACGTGTTATTGAACACTGAGCCCCATGGACTGGAGAACTGCCTGGCAACCTTAGTCTCAGCCAGGAAATCACTGGACGACTGTGAGTTCACGGGGCCAACAGAGCTAACCATTGGGTTTTCCTCCTGGGGAGATTTCATGACTCTACACTCCGAGGCAATCCTTGGTCTCACTTCAGGCTCTGTAGAAGTCTCTTCTCTCTGACAACCTTTTTATTACCTCTAAAATGGGGACCCTGCTGAGGTGGACCCAACTCTTTCCTGGCATTCTCTACCTCCAGAGGTTTTACCTGCTGCCTCTTTCCTCTTACGGCTTCCCCTCATTTTGCCCGAACGCACAGTCTCTAACTGACCGGCAGGCTCCACAGAAAGACGTAGTATGCATTAACCAGCTGTTCAGAAACAGTAGGGTTTTCTCAACTATTCTATTCAATGTTCTTACAAAAAGTCTTCATTGTTTACAGATACAAACCACACCAGCTACAGGTGGCATGATAGGTCTAAAATTTTGCCCTCCAGGTAATATGGAGGGCGAGAGGGAGAAGTGTTAAGGGGATAGAAGAAATAAGATTGGCCACAGATGGCAATTATTGAACCTGAGTAAAATGACAGATTCAACTGAATCTCCTCTTCACCTTTGTATGACCTTGGAGATCTCTCTCTCTCTCTTTATATATATGCACATATATACATACACATATATATGCATATATGTATATATATTATATATATGTATATATATTAAAGAGGGCTGGGGAGATGGCTCAGTGGTTAAAGCACTTCCTATACAAGCTTGAGATCCAGCGTTTGGCTCCCCAGATCTCATATAAATGTCAGGTGGGCACAGCAGATGACCCGTAACTCTCACACAGAAGGCAGGGGCGGGTGATTGAAACAAGCTGCAGACCAGTTGTGTCTGTGAGCACTGGGTTCGAGCGAGCAATCCCACCTCAATGAATAAGGTAGAGAACCATCAAAGAAGAGTCCTGATGTCAACCTTGGGCCCCCACATCACACATGCCTGCACATCACAGGATCCTGTGCACGCGCGCGCGCGCGCACACACACACACACACACACACACACACACACACAGGGGGGAAAATCCTTCAAGGAGACTGAGAGAAATCACAGGCTGTAGCTGAATGAAAGCAGCCTTGCACCAAGATGTCACATGATTTATTTTAGTTAAGTAACCTGTGACCAGATTAACTCATTCCAACCAGGTGTTTCACCAGGCTTCAGTATCAGATAAGAACGAGCAAGCAGCCTTAGGACTCCCTTACAGCTGAGCAAACAGCAAAAGGCAATGGAGAGAGCCTAAATCGGGAGGAAAAAAGGATGAGTCCCAAATAAGAAGGTTTCATTTCAAGGAGATCCACCTCTCCTTTGATCTCACAGGAAATATGCCCGTCACTGTCACCTCAGGCTGACAACAGACTGATCCGGCTGCTCCTCTTACCAGGTGTGGATGAGCCAATTGGCTGCCCTTGCCCTGCCCAGGGCAGTGTGGAGAGATCACTGAGGAGCACATACCTCTCCTGCCCCGCCGTGTCCCATAACTGCAGGTGGATTCTCTGGCCTCGGCCCACAGCTCCATCTGGTCCATTAGCTCTGTACACCTAAGACATCAAAGCAAAGATAAACCATCGGAGACTCTGAGATGGGTGGGCTCTTCCTGACTTTCTGTTCAGCCCCAAACCCCAAAGCATCTACACTTCTCAAGAGAACGGAGTCCCTGATAGGTCTGTACTTCGTTGCAATAACTGCACCTGGACAGTGGTACCTCCTCCTAAGACATCTACCTAGCTGGGGGTGTAGTTCAGCTGGGAGAGTCTTTGCCAGCATCCATGAAGCTCTAGGTTCTATCCTCAGCACCACAAAACCAGGCCTGGTTGCTCACGGCTACAGTCCCAGCACTTAGGAGGTGAGAGACAGAAGAATAAAAAGGTTATCCTTAGCTGAATATCAAACTGAATTTGAGGCCAGCCAAGAATGTATGAATCCCTGTCTCAAAAAAAAAAAAAGTGGTATAAATTTAAAAAGAAATAGTTTTATATTAAATTTTTTCAAGGCAGGGTTTCTCTGTATAGTCCTGGCTGTCCTAGAACTCGCCCTGTAGACCAGGCTGGCCTCATACTCAGAGGCCACCTGCCTCTGCCTCCCAGGTGCTGGGATTAAGGGTGTGTGTGACCACTGCTCAAGCTGAAATTCTAAAAAAAAACATTTAAATATATGTGTATTATGTTAGAAATATATTATGAAATATGTAAATAATACAATGACTTATGCCAAAATAACAGTCAATTTGCTTTCTCCCAGTGTCCCCTCAAGCACTCATTTCCAGAAACATTGACTTTCTGTGGGTTTCCCTTACCTCATCTTTAGAAAGTGCTCTTAAAATAATTTTATGGGCATGGTGGTGCACATCTTTAATCCCAGCACTCTGGAAGCAGAGGCAGGCTGATCTCTGTGAGTTTGAGGCCAGCCTGGGCTACAAAGCAAGTTCCAGGACAGCTAGGGCTGTTACACAGAGAAATCTGTCTCAAAAAGCAAACAAATGATTTTCTAGAGACCAGTGAGGTGGCTCAGCAGGTAAAGGTGCTTGCCACCCAGCCTGGCAGCCTGATTTCAACCCCTAGGCTCCACATGGCAAAGACGACCAACTCCCACAGGCTCTCTTCTGATTCATACACATGAACCACAGCACGTGTGCGCACACATATATACAATAAATAATTAAATACATATAAAAACTAACGGCTTTATAAAGAGCCGCTTCTGTCCCAGAATTCAGGAGACAGAGACAGGCAAATCATTGTGATCTCTAGACCAACCAAGGATAAATAGTAGGTTCCAGGCTAGCCTTGGCTATATAGTAAGAAGACCCTGTTGAGGAACGGAAAGGGAGAAGGGGGAGA